GACAAAATGCTAAGATCGATAAGCTAAAAGTGATGATTATAGGGAATATTTACAACAGATGATGTGAAAAGATTCAAATGGAAACGTGCAATTAAGCGAACTTTAAAAGAAGCAGAAAATGGACAAATGAAGGTGAAGCGGTTGAGGACCAAAGTTATTCAAAGTTATTTAGCAAGTGGTCAGTCTAATGGAAGTGATGAAAATCCCGAAACCATTTTTAATGCTAAATTGTGTTCTTTAGGTTTACGTATTGATAATAAAATAGTGCGGTTAAATTAGTTAAATGTTATCAGTGGTTGTTTTATAATTGCCTTCACTGTCGTTGCACTGTTTTAGCTTGTTACAAAGAAATTCTTTTCTTTGTGGAAATTCTTCTCTTGAGAAAACTCTTTATTTAAGTTGTCATTAGGAAATACAGCATTTCTGTTTCCGCAAAATTCTTTTAATGAATTTAAACTAATTTAAATCAAATAACTAAGTGCTGAGAACTGATGATTTGATAAGTATAGCGGTTCCGACTGCAGATTTCATCGAAATCTTGGGCAGTCATTTTTTTCCCAGGGCTGCGGTTTTTATTTATTCATATTTTTCATGATAAAAGAAGAGCATGATGTTTGTTGTTGTGGTTTTTCTTTTGGTGTCTTAAACTTTATTCATTACATAGATTGAACAGGGAAAGTTGCAATGATTGCGGAAGATATTAACCAAATGTTTACGCATATGTATGTCCATGGAAAAAATGATTTATGGATCTTACAATGCATTTAAATAAAATTAAGCGCTTAATGTTTTTTAAGCCAAGATGGTAAGATTTAGTATTAGCTACTTTAGTGTGCAATATGTATCTTATCACTTAGGCAGCGCTTTAATCTTTATTGTTATGATACAGGGTAGGATAAGAAATACTCCCAGTGCATGTTGTACTCTCTTCATTTTTATGTAATTATTTGGCTTCTCTAAAGAACTAATAAATTGTTTTTCTTTTTCTCAAAAAATAGTGGTGATTTTACCAAAAATAATGCAAGTTTCTATCTCATTTCTTGTTCTTCGAGCACTTCCTTTTTGTTTTATTGACGGCTGATTGATCTTGGGGAAATACGTGGGAAACGTCACGACCTTTCTTTTTTTAGTTTTGAACATTTTCTTGAGACATTCAGTTTCAGAAGGTATGCTTTATGCGTTCAAAACTTCGTCTCTGTGGATTTTTTTCCATTCCGATTCGTCATATATCATGAATTCTCAGTTGCTCAATACATGATATCTTATTACAGGATCATGGCTGTTGTGGCTTATAACCATTTTGGAATATGGGATGAAGACATCGAAACCGCAGAATCAGCGGAACCATGCTATTGCAATGGTTGTGAGGAACCTGTCACTTCATCTCTTTTTGCCTCGTGCATGCGATATTTTGCACTGAAAGGCGAAGAGATCAGTGGTTTGCCAAAATCTATGGTTCAGAGAATTGAAAGTTTAAAGTATGATATGGAAATTGTCGGAAAAATACATCAGGAATATATTACATTCAAGCTTTCCTGGATTGGCTTAGGAAAAGATGGCAATGTGGATTGGCTTAAAACATATGCAAAATGTTACCGCGAAATGCCGCCAGATGATTTTTTTATATTTGCGGCAATTAATGGAATTGCTACCAGGGTAAGTGGTCACATTGAAGATCTCGACTATCTTCACTGTCGAATATGCTTAGTGGTGACATTTGTTATGTTAAATATATCACCAGTATCTTATGTATTTTGAATTATTTCTTCCGTTTGGACTTTTGAAACATTTATTATTATCATCTTGGTTGAAAAAGCTGTAAATACATTTTCCTTTGTTAAAAAAAAGAAAAAAAATTATAGCAGAAAATTTTTCATATGGATTTGGTAAACGTTGTGAATAGATGGATGTTGGAAGGGTAAGGGTTTAAACGAAAGCAAGACAAATTTTTGAAATCTACTGTGTTTAATGCGGCGACGGATATTGAAATTCCTAGATGATTCTTTAAATGACATCCTTATCAGTAGGTTAGAATGCTTATATTGAGAAGTACTGCAACTTAATCAATAATAATAATTATAGATCAAGTTAACTTTCAGTTCCTCTCGTGAAACTCCCTCTTTCTTTCCCTCCCTTGTTTTGCCATTACTTAATTATGCTTTACAGTGGGTGCATTTGCCTCCAAAATGAGTTAAATCGCTGAATTTAAAAACAGTAAGCAAACTTAAAACAATTTTCCTTAAAAATTTCATCGAACTACTTAGTCGTTATATGGGTAAGAAGAGTAGCAAAAATTAATAAAATACAACGATTGGATAAATTCTTGAAGAATTCAACAATGAAAGGATTGATGAAGATCGACTCTTCGAAATTTGTGAATAACTGCGCTTTTTCAAATAAGCATTAGAAAAATTGACGATATATGGATCAATTATTTAGTTAATGTTTGAGACAACATCTTCCAAGCATTATTTCCACTTCTCATTTTTCTCTTTTTTTAGTTTTTTTTTTTTTTTTTGAAAAGCATTTTTCTGAACCTGGTTAACGTAAACAGAACATGCTTTGCACGTTATCTTTTTTCTTTCTTTTTGTTCCTCTTTTTTGCTTTTTCTAATTTGTATTGCTCCAAGTTTTATGCATCGTTTTAACTGGCCGCATTTTATACCGTAGATATGGATCTAGGATTGGGAATGATATGACCAATTATAATATAGTTTCTTTTAATACCACATAAATCTATTTGTTGCCATAATTTAAATTTTTCAATTCAAACTTTTATAAATTTTGTAATTTCATAATTTAAATTAAACATTTAAGTATGTGTTTTCTGATCAAGATTAAGAAGGATCAGAAAACATTGACTTGAAATGGAATGACAGCAAATTACTGCGTTATCACTCCACTTCAAGTGGAAAAAAGAAAAACTGAGGTTTTTTAAAGTTCGAAATTGATATAAGTCACGAAGTTGTACTTTTTCTTTCTTTTTTCTTCAAAAATGCTGACCTCATAAAAAATCTAATTCTTAGTAAACTGATGATTTATTTTTTTTTCTTTTTCGATTTGTTACCGCTGTTTTTAAATTTTATAAAACAGTAAAAACACTTCAATATGCTTGAATTTTTCAGAAGTTGAAGTAAGCCGTAATTTTTATTGTAACAGAGGTAGAAATTAATGACATATCACTGCATTTGCTATTTAGCTTGCTGGAAGTGTTCGAAATTATAGCTTTTCATAAACAGTTTTTTAACTATTGCTAAATTCACCACGATAACGTGCTTAAGTAATAAAGGAAAGATTGCTTAAATGTCACAAAATATAGAATTATTTAAGTAGTCTTAGTAAATAATTTGGTAAGATTAGTTTATTAGTTTTTCGCTTTGCTTTTTATGAAATATATTTGATGGTAGCAGATTAATATTGAAAAAGTGTGATGAATTAAATTCCTGAATATAAATGATCGGCAAATATCAGTATTTCTGATTACAGGCTCTATGGAAACGAATGGACGACTTAGAGAAGCAGCATATGTTGGATGCATATGATGATGTGATAAGGAACACGGCACTTCTAATGTATTACCCTTCTGTTTTTAACGTAATCCAATACCGAAGTATTGTAGTCGCCGCACAACACGGTTGGCCAGGTGCAGTATGCGCTTGGATAGGCTTGCGAAATAATACCCTAAATAATATTGATTATGAAGAAGAACTGGTCGCAAATTTCAAAACCCCTCTTTATCAGACATTCTCTTCCCCACCTTCAAATTATCTTGAAAATGCTATTCTGCTAGCAATTCATAACGAGCAGTATCATTTGCTTCGCTATTTGCCAACCGTCGATCTTACTGATTCTTTTAATCTTTTGTTTCCAGATGGTCACGTATCGCTTAATTTTTTCCAGCAATTAATTGATTTTCCAGTAATTGAAAGCCTGTTTAACGACAAGTTAAGTGATTATCTGAAATCTGTTGTACGAGCTTTACTTATCTGGATGTCACTTTCGGAAGTTCAACGTCTGCAGCGAATGCTGGCTGGTGCTGGAGACATTAAAATTAGAAATTGTATTAATCAGATCTTAAATGATATAAGTAAGTAATGTAACTATTATTTAAATTGTATTGCGTAAATATTCCTTACATATTTTTATCGATGAATTGATTTTGCTATATTCCTTTTGATGATTTAATTGCGCTATATTCCTATCCATGAATTGATTGTGTATATATATGTAAATAAGAAATATTTTAACTTGAGTCAGTTATTGATACAATTTGGAAGCATTTTAATGGAATCGGTTACAAGGTCAAAGGTTATCGGTTCAAAGAAACACTTATCGACTAGGCTATATAAAGCTGTCGACAATGCGTATGCCGGAATGTTCGTGTGTGTGCGCCTAATGTCTATGTGGAACGGTGGATTTTAAGATATCATAACGCGCAACACACGGATGTATGCAGGCTTGCGCCCAATCAATCTGATAGATGCATGCGACGCGGTTACTGCAACGCTCGATATTCCAACACATTGATGGCCTATGGTTATGAAATATGAAGTTGCTATTTTATGATGATAATAATATATTCTGAATTGTGGCTTGCAGCGGATATTATGATTGCATGCTGTGATGATCTCCGATCAACAATATGATGACACGATCTGCGACATGTTTGTTCTGTTTCATTTTGTTGCCAGTACTTGTTTGATTTAATGAAGAAGAAAAAGGATGAAGAGATTGTTGTGAAAGTGATGAAGGGATTAGAATAGTGAAAGGATGATAGGGAAATAGAGATTGTTCAGCTTTTTTTTTTAATTGGAAAGGATAAGAGAATAATTACTAGGAGAGGAGAGGGTTGTGGGATGGATGGAAAGACCAATAACTTCAACAGGTACAAATGAGTAAATAATAACTTTTAATCATACAATCGATTACTGTTTATCAAATAATTCCATTTGACAATTATATTTTATATTGAATGTACACATATAAAGAAACATTTCAATTATTTAATTTCCGATATTTTTGTTTATATTCATATAGATTAGTGATTCCCAACTTTTTCTTGACCGTTGACCCTTTTTGGCTTTTTATTTATAGCAGAGACCATAAGGTTCAAAAATAATAAATTCTTTTAATTTGGAAATAAGCTTCAATCAAAACCTTTGACGTGTTAGTTAAACTCGGAGTAACATTATAATAAAAAAAGAAAGAACATAACTTTTAATAAGCCTCGCGGTCCAAATTTTAGTTCTCGCGAACCACCGGTTGGGAACTACCAATATAGATAGATGGTATATGACTATGTAAAATTGGAAATAGCCAATACAGATGTAGATGAAGGCGTGGTCGTGGATGAAGATAGAGGGCTCCGCCTGCTTACTTACAGGATTAGAGGAATATGCCCTCCCGGTGATCCTTTATATACGGGCATATTAAATTCGAAATAATCCTGATCAAAGTTCGGATGCGGTCAGTAAGCTTAACGGTTTATTCCATCTAGTTTGCAACATCGATCATTTCCTGTTATTCAGTGTCAAATGATGGCTTACCTGCTGAAGTACTACACCTGTTAGTTATCAAATCTATGGCATATGATATCACTCTCATCATTACTTACAACGAATAAGTGATGAGTTCAATATGATAGATACGATAGATTTAGTTGCATGGAAGATAATTTGATAGTAATTTTATAAAAAGAAAGAGATTATAAGATTAATCATACTTCCTAATTTTTTTAGTTTTTTTCTTTTTTCCTTTCTTTGGCACAATATAGCTTATTGATTATAATTTATAGAATTCTGATACATTTTTGGCTGAAATATTTTCATTTGTTCTTCAGCATTGCAGACATAATTTGATTAATTAATATTTCAAAAGTTCTGGCCACAAACTGATTAATATAAATGGTACTTTTGCATCAATTTAAAACATTACTTATTCCTATGTTTACATTTACAAAAGATTTAGTGTAATACGAAAATTTTAATGGAATATTTCAATTCATGAAAGTGTTGCATAATAACTTCGAGTTTCATCAAATCGTTAATGAATTTGCAAAAAATTTTTACTTCAAATGAAGAATAGCATGAGAAAGGCCAGTAAAATGAAATTTCGAGAATTTGAATTATTCCAAAATTCTAAACTTTTTTTCATCCTTTCTCAGTGAGGAAATAACTGTATATTTCCATTTGGTACAGTTGCTGAGTCAGATAATTAGAAGTGTTGATAAACATCAAGATGAATGATGAAGGAAACATTAAATTTTTTTTCAGTTTCGACAAAAATTCGTACCCTAAGTGAATTTCATAGTCGTATAGCATGCAATCAACAACCACCCAGTGCTGCCGAAATATTAACAACGTTACGGTATTTTCATCAAACATTGATAGGGTTAGTTGAGTAAATCTTTTTAAAATTATTTCGAAAGATTTTACACTATTCCAACTTCTTCTATGAAGCATTTCATAATGAGTTCAATTTTTATTTTTGAATGATTAATTCTAGAAATTTATTATAATCC